TAAAATATTCCAAGTGGCGACTCTAAAAAATAAATAAATAATCTCATTTCCAATAATATCACTTCAATTGGAAAAACTCCCTTATATATACCCTCGGGTGTGTAAAAAAGAGGTGTGACAGCTCTGGCATGATAGGATTATCTAATGTAAACTTAAAAAGGACGAAATCCTTCTACAAGGATAAGAAAGGTTTACCGAAGTCTTAAGTAAGTTAAGATGAATATGAAACTTGTTAATCATGATTTAAATGAGTTTAAAGTCATGATATGACTAGATATGATGTTTGGATATGAAATATAAAGTTTGAAAAAAATCGGATTTAAGTTGCGGAAAAACCGACTAAGGATTTGCCTTGTAATGAAGTATTTTGAGCAATATATGTCATGTGTTATATGAGGTTATTTTGGGACATATTATATATCAAAATAAAGGTTTTGAAACCTAGTTTCCAATGGTCCAAACCATTTATTCATACGACATCGGGGTAGATAAATATGGATTTTTAAAGTAGGGTCGCCAAGTCACGTTGCCGCACTTCGGAGAAACTGGCAGGTTTATGGGCCAGGTTGCGACGCCGTTTTCTCCTAATATATTGAGAGTTACAGGGAGATCTTTATATGTAATTAAAGCCCCTTGTGTCCAGTCTCTCACACTGAAAACTGTTTGTCAATACGATATCGGAGTAGAGAGATACAAGTGTCCGAAGTTGCACTGCTCAAGCTGCCAAGCAGGCATCTTACCCACCTGCTTGGTGAATTGAGGCGGTGGGCTTATAAGTGATCTTATCCCCTTATATCTCGTCAAAAATACTTACACCAAAGTACTCTCAAGCTCTCCAAAACCCTCCCTAACATATCCCAAGATCCCAAGAACCAAACTCAAGGAAAATCAACTCAAATCATCATCAAATGTGTTAAAGACTATAAGAGAATGCTTCTATGATGTTGTGGTGTGATTGGGGGCTATTGTGATCTAAGTTGAGATAGAGTTTCGAGTTATAGCTATTGTCCAAGGTATGAATAACATCTTCTTGATTGTGTCTAAGGTTAATCTTGTGTTGGTTGTGTTGTTTGAGTGAAAACCCATAAGATAGCACTTGAAGGAACATGGGATATGGTTGTCTTTTTGGTTGGACTGTTTTGTGGCTAAATATATGGTTTGTAGTGGCTGAAAATTGTGAGAAATAATTTAATAATATTTTGGCTGTTGTTGTTAAGCTTTTCTAGGTGTTAATTAAGTTGATTGAAGAAGAAAAGATGAAAAACAAGTGATTGGCGATAAAAATTAAGGTGCTAGTCTTATGAGACTGTTTTTGAAGGCATTTTGTGGATGTTTTGAACTAAAAATAATATAGTACATATAAGTATGACGTTTTGAAGGTTGTAAACTAATTTATGGAAAAAGAGTTGGATTCAATTTATATCTTGTTATGAGTAAAAACAAGCTTGCCGCTCAATATGATTGTTAAGATAACCGAAGAAACTCATATTGGATTATATTGCTGTTGTTGCTATTGTTGGTTATAATTGTTGTTGTTGGGATGTTGATGACCCTTAGTGGTCTTTGGGATGTATTAAAATGGGGGAGTTGCTGCCCGATTTTCCTTAAGCCATACGACTAGCCAAATACGATGGTACAACATTATATGTTAACGACAATATCATTTCACTTGTTGTGGATGCAAGAAGTTGTGTGGAGCTTGGTTGAGTAATAAGGAAGAGGTCATAAAAGTATGTTAAGGCTATTCCTTCTTTCCTTTTGGCATGATCCATATGATACAACGAAACGAGCAAGCACGCAAATTTCACAAATGATTCTATCTTAGAAGTACCAGGGTTGCCTATGTGCTTGATTCCCCATATGTCCTACTATCATATCATCTGTTCATGGGTCTCATGACATTCTGAGAGATCTTATTGACTTACTTCATTATGCATTGCATTCATTTATACATGTATATTGACTCATGAACAGATGGCGTTATATACGCGTATAGTATATGTATATGGGGTATGGGGAAAGGTTATGGCGTTATGTACGCACCACCACCTGATCAGTTGGTATACTTGATAATTTTTCCCATAGAGGCCGAGATGATATGATGGGATGCCCTCAGAGGCTTGATGATGTTATGTACGCATATACCTATGCGTGATGACATTTACATGCACATGCATGATATTATAAATATTTTACGATCCACAGAGCTATTCAGACTTACAGGTTGAGTACTTTACTCCATATTTCTTTCATATCTTTTATATACTACTCTTCATTCCTTACATACTCAGTACTTTATTTGTACTGACATCCCTGTTGCCTGGGGACGCCGCGTTTCATGCTCGCGGGTCCTGAAAGACAGGTTGACAGTCTATATGCTAGTAGGCTATCAGCTCAGCGAAAGGTGTTGGTGCACTCCACTTGCTCCAGAGTTGCCTATTTGGTCAATATGATTTGGACATGTATTGACTGGTATGGCAGAGCCCTGTCTCGACCTTTATGATGTTTATGTACTCTTAGAGACTTGTAGACAGATGTCAGGTATATGGATACTTGTATGGCCTTGTCGGCCAATGTTATGAGTTTACAAATGATCATGCCGACCTTATAGGCCCGTATGTCACATGTATAAGTTTCTATATTATGTTGGGTCATCCTAAGTCTAGTATTCCCTTATATTTTATTCTGATTATCTCATGACGACCCTTTTGGCCCATTTACCAATGATAGTACGGTAAGAAAGATATGTCACGTTGGTACTCGGTTGAGTAAGGTACCGGGTGCCCATCGTGGCCCTTCTGTTTGGGTCGTGACAATTGCGGTCGAAGAGTCATCAAAGATCAAGGTCGAGGTCGTACATCCTTGGCATGGTTATAACGGCTAGTTTCAAGATAGGATATTAAAAAGAATATTCTAATGGATATTCTATGCACCTGTATTATTAGGTTTTCTAGGAACTTGTTCCCTATAAATAGAAAGAGACACAATGATAGGGGACATGATATATTCATTTGTTAAAAAATACATTGACTTTATAAAGAGAATATGGTCCTATTGCAAACATACAAAAACTACATATTTACTAACATTCTTGTCTAGGACCCACTCTAACCATTACCCCTTGCTTGTCAAGCTCAATAATAGCACACAAGTGGCTCAGTCTAGCCCTTTAGATTCGAATCCATGTGGTGCAACCACCCAACATTCCAAGCCCTTATCAGAGAATCTTCCCAAACCACTCCACCCTAATCCCTTCCTCCACTAGGTTCAAAGAAAATGCAATCAAAGTGAACAAACTCACTTTTGGCAAACATACAAAAACTACCTTTTTACTAACATTCGGTTATTCTATTATGTATAACCAAAATTAGACTTTTCGAAACCGTCCCAATTATGTCGGTTTCTCTTCGGCATCGGTATCAGTACGGTTCGATTAAATTTCGATATTTTTTTAAAAATCATGTAAAAAATTTCACCAGTGGAAGTAGAATGCAATAACATATGTTCTTTTCTAGGACTTAGCAAAACTCTCTAGACATTTTTACTGTTTAAAGGGCGATGAATTTAAAAAAAGTAAAAGATGGCTAGAGTATAGATCCATCAACTATTCCATAACAACGTAAAAGAAACCAAGCAAAGGAAAAGAAAATATAAATCATACGGGTGAAAAGATATTAACCAAGTTGGGACTCAAGAATAAAGTCTATAGAAAATTAAATATTCAAAAAGATACATCTAAATTATTGTGATGACCCAAAAGGTCATCTTTTGTTTTAGAGTCCATTTTTGTGTTTTGAGGCCTTGAAAACCTCCTTGTATCTCTTCTCGATTTGCGTGCGCAGTCCGGGCGCGATTCTGGAAAGCTTTTATGTGAATTTTAAGAAAAATATTAAATTTGACCTTTAAACTTGATTAAAGTTGACTTCGGTCAATACTTTTGGTAAACGGACCTGGCCCCTAATTTGACGGTCCCATAGGATCCGTAGTAAAATATGGGACTTGGGCGTATGCCCGGAATCGAATTCCGAGGTCCCTAGCCCGAGAAAAGAATTTTTAAAGAAAATTATTTGCTGGAAAATATAAGGACTTTTGGAAATGAAATGGTGTAAAATCTTGATGGTATCGGGCCCGTATTTTGGTTCCGAAGCACGGTACAGGCTTAATATAATATTTCTGTCATATCTGTGAAATTTGATAAGAATCGGAGTTGGTTTGGTATAAATCGGACCCTTGGTTGAGAAAATAGAAATTTGAACTATCTTGTGAAATTCATGAGTTTTGGTGCTAAATTCGTTGTTTGAGATGTTATTTTGACGATTTGATCGCACGATGATGGGTTTTAAATGTTTTTGCCTTATGTTTTGATGATCTAATAAACTTACTGTCAAGAACCAGATAGATGGCACACTTGGTACACATTTCAAATGAACGGAGTCTTGCCTGAACTCCAGCAAGTGTCAACTGCTGCAAATAAAGAGAAAAGAGGAACAAGACAGGGACCTGATCCCTGGATGTTCTCTGACAGAAGTATAAGTCAACTATACAGCTGGAAAGCAACTGCAGAAAGTACCTGCCTGCAACTGTACACGCGACAGTGCAGCAGTCGCTTCCCATTGGGAAGAGGCGTGTACCAACCATGAAATGACATCATCCTTGGGATCACTACAAGAAAATGGGCCTTTAACGAGTGGAAATTCGGTCGCTAAAAGTCCAAATCAGGTCGTTATTAGTCAATTACGACCGGAAAAAATCCGGTCGTCGCCGGTCGTTAAAAGCTCCGTCGTTAAAAGTACACGACCGGATCCTACTCCTTCGTTAAAAACCCTTTAGCGAAAGTAAAAAATCCGGTCGTTATATCTCCTTCGCTATTTGTCATTTCGGTCGTAAAAAAACTCCAATAACGGGGCAACTACTTCTGTCGTTTTAATTGCTTTTAGAGAATAGAACTCCTTCTGTTGATTGTAGTTATGCTTTCACATATATACAGACTTACAAAAATATACAAAATAGTCAATGCTCATATAAAACATCACTCTTTAATTACAAAGAACTAAAGAGTCACATTACCGAATGTATACATATCCAAATTGTATGATATTATTATTTTTTCACTTAGAGAAAACAAAAATGGAATTGTTGCATGTACAAATGGAAACATATGTAAACAACCGCTAGAAAAATAAAGTAGGTTCTTCTTGTACTTCAACTTCTTCTTTCAAATTCAACTCGCTTTACACTATCTCAAAGATGATTCTTCATGACTTCAAATTCTTGATCTGTTCAAAGAAAAAGTTCATGTTAGTTTAGCAAGCAAACTACTACTAGCTACTTTTGTTTAGGACATAAATGAGTATTTAAGATTGTTAGGTTGCTAACACTATAAGATGTAAAAATATATTTTATAGCATTATGAATTGTTAGAGCTTCTTACACTAATATCAATAAATCAAACAGTAAAAATATCACTAAATCTATAACATATAATGGGCTATAAGTGCAAAATCAAAAAGAAAGAGCAGCAACAACATGAAAAGCAATACTACCTAACATCATAATATCACACCAAACAAGAGCAAATTAAACATAATATATCAAATAAACCAATCTACGATTGAAAAGGCTTCTATTGACAAAACCAAGAAAATAACAACAGACCGAAGAGCATCAAGTATGTCACATGACTCATCCAGATATTTCCAATACACACACTCAATATGCAGAGCTCAAATGGAAGACTGATGCAAAGCCAAAAATACTCACAACCATGGAGAATTGACAACTAATAACACATTTGATTAGAAACGGGATGACAAAGTATGAGAGAAATCTAAGGTACTTACGTGAACTCTATAGAACCAGAACCAAAGTAAAATTACTATTGTTACTGCATAAAATCAAAACCCTTTTAAAACAGCGGCAACAACCAACTTGAAACTAAGTTTCAGCATTTTCTATATAAAAAGCTCCATTACCAATACAGTAAGAGTTCTAAAAATAACATGACATATTTACTAAAACTAAAATTGCATATTCAAGCTCAATTTAGCTCCAGGTACATTGCAGAGGCTATAGCTTTTCTTGGGATCGTCTTATGAACCTGGTTTATTTTTATTTTATATTATAAGTAGCTAAGTACTTTGATATTCTCATGGAGATTTGATTTTGTGTCCCCTTCCACTGTAATCCTTTGTTATCATTCTTATATACGAGGTAGGGATTCATTCCAAACCCCCCAACATCATGGGAGGTGAAAGCTATTTTTTTAAAAAGTAAAATAAAAATATTCAAGCTCAAATATTAAACGAAATGTAAAAGTTGCATTCCTAATTTAATATCATAGTTTTAACTCTAGTTTCTCCTCTATGAACCGACTCATTCCTTTTTATTAAATTGAGCATTTTGCTCATCTTCTTTAAAAAATCATACAATTAATATGAGGGAGTTTTACATGCTATCAACTTGCCTGTTCTACTATTTTGAATTTTTGAAACAACTAATGAATCCTTTCTTTACCTAGAATACAAATGCTCTTCTTCCAACTATCATCTCATAGAAGTTTAACAATATAAAGAAGAAAATAAAGAAGAAAATAGATTGAAACCATATGATACCTTGAGATGGGCCGAGAAATTCCAATATTGAGGAGCTCCATAGCAATCTATCAGATGTAGGAACTCCACTAGTAGATTCAAGCACCAAAATTACAAAACCAATGTCTAGCATATACTATCAGATCTAGGAACTATATTTGTACAATTTAAATTAGCAAAGAGTCACAAAAATACTAGAAAATACATTAAGCAGTAGTTGGTTCACTAAATTAATAGAAGATTAAACTAAACCCATGCAATTAATTAGCAATCAAAAGTGTTATAAATTTTTTAAAAAAAAGACAAAGAACCCAAATCTCTCAATCAGTCAATGCTCCAAATCTATTTCTAGATTAGAAGATTAAAAGGGAAAATAAGAATATTTGAAGTACTTGTAATAGATGAATCTGAGAATAGTCCTAACTCCTATGATATGCTGGTACTTTCACTTTCTTTCCTTTATAGAGCATTGTCTAATATTTCCATCTGCTCTTCAAAATACTCAAATAAGTAAGATACATTATCAAAATCAGCAAGTATTAAACAAAAGTTATTTTGCTGTGATTTCCTAACTATTGTTGTCCCTTTTGATAAAATTAGGTGATGTCTTTTCTCACAAAAATGAATCTCCTGCTCATAAAAAGTGTAAGAAACTGCCCATCTTTGCTTAGTTTTTTCTAATATCTTGTTGTATAAGGTTTTTTCTTCTATTTCTTTGTCTTTAATTAGTAGGGGGATACATATATTTTTGTACACTAGGAACATGTAGCTACATGGTTAACCGTGCATTGTTGCTTTTGTTTTTGTACATGTGTTTTACCTCTTCAACCCACCACAGTTTGCCCTGTACACTAATTTACTAAAGAGTATTTCACCTTATGTTCAATATCTACTTGTTCAGATCTAATCAGTAACTCTAGGAGCGTGCCTTTAAATTGAGGAAGAAGAACAATTTGTGTGGTGTCTGTCTTGAAGGTATAAGCTCACCACTCCAACAACAACAACAACAAAACCAACTTAATCTCATACGTGTGGTCTGAGGAGAAACACACAACTACCTATCAACCCGCCACCTCCACACATATAAAGATAGTTCACATATTAATGTAAGTAGGTAACTCACAACCGGGTAGCATTAACATAGCAGGTAAAACAACAGCAAATACCACAAACATTTAACAATTGATATTATGTACGCATCAAGACAGATGTAGACTTACTGGTTGGGAGTACAAACTCCTGGCAGATGCCCATCCTCACCCTATTTGAAGTGAAGGATATCAAAGCAGAGAGAAAAAAGTATAGACATAGATAGGTGCTCTGTCTTCAGGTAGAAACCTATTCTCTTGCTCCAGCAACATCCAACTAATTAGAAGAAACCAATGGGAAAAAATGTAGACATAGATAGGTGCTCTGTCACACTACAGATATATTTTATATCTCTGGATAACAAACTATTCATCCATAATGTAATGGAGTTATATTTCAGGTGGAGTAACATACGTTGAAGGACCTATTTGCAACTAGAAAGAATATGTCCAGTTAGGAATATGAGTACTTCTTTCCAAAAATGAAGCACATCAAGAGCCAATCTCCTTCATCCATGGATCATTGGAAACGAACTACAATTCCCATTAACTGAAGCTGTAGTCCAAAAAGAGGATTAGCAAAATGATATCTGCAAATACTATGAATTTCCAGCGAGACAAGGACAGATAGGTAGATAAAATCAATATACATACATGAAACTTTTAGACATAAATAATGACCATCCTGATAAATTCGGATTTAGGATCACTCAATTGGTAATTCATGATTCTCTAGCAATAAATGCAATATGTAATTTTGATGTGTTAGGAAATCCACCACTGCTGAAAAATTAATATCCTATTGCCTTTTCAAGGTGTTGATAGAAGAACTTTAAAACTCAAGATCAAGAGAGCTACAAAAGCAGCTCTTAGAAGACTAAATAAATCAAGTGCACTTCCGCAATGCAAAATCCACATATACATTAACAAAGTACAGGTATATGTCACCAAATAACACACAAACATAAATACTTCTAACATTCAAAAGGAGGTTATGTATCATCTCGACGGCAAAGTCATCTGCCTATCATATTCTCTCTATAATAATTGGAAAGAATAGAAACTGAAGAATATTAATCCAGTTACACATCCCTCACTAATCACTTCATACACCAGCTACTTTTCAGCCTCAATCTGATCACTTGATCCATCAATTTGTATGGTCCTCTCTTGTGATGTATCACCAGGAGGCAAGTGCAAAGGAATAATCTGAATCTCACCATCTCCCTTTTCATAAAAGACCATAAGTACAGAGGTGAACTATCCATCTCAATATCTAAAAAGCATAATTCTACTCTACTTAGGGTATTGCGGTACAATTCTTCAATACCAGCTAAAACTCCTTAAAATCAGCTTTATGTCGGTAGAAATTGAAATATGTAGAAGAAAACAAAAAATCTCCAAATCGGGGAACATTGAAAAAGATAAATTCCAGTTAATACTCCTAAAAATTATCTGCTACGAGAATATATTTATTCGGCTGAACATACTTTGACGAGAAGGAGAACAGGAAAAATGAACAGATACAATACCAGTTAATAACCTAAAAATTCCTCTACTACCAGACAAATACAAATTAAGAAAATTAAACATACCTTGCTAAGAAGGACAACAGAACCCTAAGAACAATTCACTAGGAGGCAAGCAGAGAAAGCATAATCGAGGTAACGAAAGGAGTGCTGGCCGTTCTTTTATTGTGGCCTGACGGTTTTCATTCTGCATTTTTGTCTCGAGGGTCTTTTAGTTTTTTTCCTGAGCGCGGGGAGGTAGGGTTAGAAATATTGAGGGAAAAAATGAGCGTTCCTTTTTTCTATTTACTTTGACGACCGGAGTTTATATATTTAAAGAATGAATTTTTTCCTCTCACTAATTTTAACCTAAAAATTAATTTTAATGACTGAAAAAAGTGGGTCGCTATTAATACACTTATAACGACCGGATTCATATCCCTTCGTCAGACACTGGTCGTTAAAAGTCACATTTCTTGTAGTGGATGTCTTTGGTAAGTATAATAACATGGTGCAAGGCACAACATACTCACTTGAGCATTTAGTGATATTCTCTCAAGCATTAAAGAGTTGATCCAGCACTGAAGTCACAACTGTGTCAAGAACAAGAAGACAACTCCACTAAAGGATCAGTTCCACAATGAGTCTATGTGTATTCTTAGTTGAGTTGTAATCTTGTTATTTGTTCTTCATTGTAACTTCTATCTTGCTTTCTTAGAACCTGTGTATTAGGAAACCCAAAATCATAAACTTTCTGAGTTTGTGTTGTGACTAGAGTTAGTCATAAGTTAAAGTCTTTGTAACTAGTGAGTGACAAAGTAGCTTGTGGTAAGTGTATCACAAGTTAGTTGAGTTGAAGTCTTTGTAATAGAGTCATTACAAAGTGGCTTGTAATTGAGTGTTTACAAGTTAGTGAAGTTGAAAGCCTACGAGTGTAGGTCGTGGTTTTTGTCCCCTTGTGTCGGATTTTTCCACGTAAAAATCCCGTGTCTCATTCTTTTACTGTTTTATTAGTATTCTCAGTAAAAACTCATAGAGGACCAGGTACTCTATAGTTTGGTGGACTCAAATAAATTAACAATTGGTATCAGAGCAGGTTCTTTCTAAAAGGCTAACACCTAGAAAGGATCTCAATGACTGCTCCACCTAACTTTGAGGAAGGACAATCTACCTACAGACCTCCTAGATTCAATGGTCAGTACTACGGCTGGTGGTAGACTCGTATGCATGATTTTATAATGGCTAAAGACTCAGAACTGTGGGACGTCATCTGTGATGGTCCACACATTCCTATGAAGAAGCTTGGAGAAACTGGACCAATGGTGCCGAAAGACAGAAAAGAGTACAGTGATATTGATAGAAAAGCCGTAGAAAAGAACTATCGTGCCAAGAAAATCTTGGTATGTGGTATAGGACCTGATGAGTACAACAGAACTTCAGCTTGTGATTCTACCAAAGAAATATGGGAAGCATTGCAAACCGCACACAAAGGAACTATACAAGATATGCACACTAGATTCACATCCATCATAAATGAGCTTCATTCACTTGGAGATGTTATTCCCAGAAACAAGCTTGTAAGGAAGATTCTCAGTGTTCTACCTGGCTCTTGGGAGAGTAAAGTAAATGCCATCACTGAAGCTAAAGATTTACAAACTCTAACCATGGATGAGCTGATTGGAAATCTGAAGACATACGAGATGAAAAGAAAGAAAGACAGTGAAATGAGAGAGCCAAAGAAGGAAAAGAACCTGGTGCTCAAGGCTGAAACCAGCGACTCAAGTAAAGAAGATAGTGATATGGCCTATCTTACTAAAAGGTTTCAAAAGATGGTTCGAAGAAATGGTGGTATACCAAAGAGGGGCAGTTGAAGTAAGGCAAGGAACAATGATCTGTGTCACAAGTGCGGAAAGCCAGGGCATTTCATCAAAGACTGCCCACTTCTGAAACAGGAGCAATACAAGCAAAACCCTGACAAAGCAGCAAAAAGGAACCCGGTTCCTGACAAACAATTCAGTCGAAAAAGTGCAGCTGACAATGTTGTGAAGCAAGCTCTTGTTGCTTGGGGAGACTCCTCCACTGAATCAGAAGGGGAACCAGATGTAAAACAGCTCCATGATGGCAGTAGAAATTGGAGCAACGAAATATGACTCACTGTTTGCGCTGATGGCTCAGTCTGACGATGATGAAGAGGATGAAAATGATGAGGTAAATTTCAGGGATGTTCAGAGAAATCTGAAGTCTTACTCTTTTAAGAAATTAAGGTCATTAGAAAATGTTCTAATTGATGCATATTATAGCCTTATTAATGATAAGGAGATCTTGACCATAGAGCTAGAAGATGCTGAACAATCTAGAGACGATTTGGTGGTATGTGTAGTTGATCTAAATGAGACTATAGCTAATCTTGAAAAAGAAAAGGAAGCTTTGAATAATAAATAGTGTAGAAAATGAGAGAGATGACTTGATGGTAGTGGTTGTTGATTTGAAGGAAACCATAGAAAGCTTTAGCAATGAAAAGCACACTCTAGAAGAGAAAATTGCAGCTACTGAGCAAGAAAAAGATGACTTTCTAGTGATAATCACTGACCTAGAGGAAGCTATTGAGGGACTCAGATCAGAACTTAAGCCTGAAAGTATTGATAAAGGGAAAGAAGTAGCTAGTGAGTCATACATCAAGCTTGAAAAGGAATTAAATGATGTTAAAACTAGTCTATGTGGTGAACTCGAGAAAAATAGGCAGCTTCAAGCTGAATTGAAGAAAGTAAAAATTGATCTTGAGAAATCTCTCAAGTGGACCTGGTCCTCAGATGCTGTCACTACCATGTACTTCAACAATAGTGGAAATATGAAGGGAATCGGGTTACAAAAGGAGAAAACTCCTTACAACCCTCACATCAAGTACGTCACAGTTCCTGATAACTGGCTTTGTACCCACTGTGGGAACAATGGGCACTTCAAAGAAAATTGCCAGGCCAGGGTTCAATCTGTTCAGAAAAACAAATTGTTTACTGAAAAAGTGACTACTAAAGAGGGACCAGGTACCACACGCATGAAACAAATATTGCCTGCATGGACTAGAAAAGCTCTTATTCATCCCTTTTCTCATTACAAGGGACCCAAACTAGTTTGGGTTCCTAAATCTAACCTATAATTTAGATGTGCAGGGAACAGTAAGAGGAAGCGGACTGCAATGGATCATGGACAGTGGATGCTCAAAGCACATGACTGGAAACACCATGGATTTTCTCTCACTAAAAGCCCTACAAGGAGGGAATATACCCTTTGGAAATGGAAAAAGGTGTAAATTCTTGGTATTGGGAAGAAAACAAGGTAGAGGTTCGTGTCTAAGCTGGTGATATGAGCTGCTTGAATGCAGATGATAATGATTCGGAGACTTGGCATAAAGGATTGGGGGCATACAAGTTTCTCACTTCTGGATAAATTAATGAAGAAGGACCTGGTCCATGGTCTGTCAAATTCAAAGTTCAAAGAACACGGAGTGTGCAATGTATGTTCTAGAGGAAAACATGTGAAATCATCCTTTAAGCCCAAAAAGGGATGTCAGCACATCGAAACCATTTGAACTCCTTCATGTCGAATTGTGTCGTCCTATGAGAATACTGAGCAGGAGTGAAAAGAGGTATATCTTTGTGATTGTGGATGACTACTCAAGATTCACTTGGACACTGTTTCTGAGGACAAAAGATGAGACTTCAAGTTATTTGTGGCCTTTGTCAAGAAAATCCAAGTGAAGACGGGATTAAAAGTAGCTTGCATCAGATCTGACCCTGGAACAGAATTTGACAACGCAAGGACTCCACAGCAAAATGGTGTTGTTGAAAGAAAGAACAAAACTCTGGAAAACATGGCACAGACAATGCTCACTGTCAGAGGAATAGCAAAAATTTCCGGGCAGAGGCAATAAACACTGCGTGCTACTTGATGAACAGGTGCGTGATCAGATCTCTCCTGAACAAAACCCCCTATGAGTTGCTGACTGGAAGGAAACCCAAGCTGACTCACCTGAGAACATTTGGGTGCAAATGCTATGCTCTCAACAATGGACGAATCAGCTTGGTAAATTTGATGCCAAGAGTGATGAAGGAATATTTATGGGGTATTCTTCTCAAAGCAAAGCTTACAAGATATACAACAAGCGGACACAACGTGTGGAAGAAAGTGTTCATATGCTATTCAACGAGACACCTTCCTCTAACAAGGGAGGAAACAATGATGATCAAAATAATGAGCCATGCTTGTTCCTGAGGAAATATCTGATGTTTCAAATGGCAAGGCTGATATAATGAGTCAGTTGAAGGAGACAGGTAAAGACAATGCAACATCCTATTCCACTTCTCAAGAGGAACCTGGTACTTCAATTACTGCCATTGAAGCTGAAGAAAGAGTTGGAGGTGCAATACAAGGTACTCCACAAGTATCAGAACAAGGAGTGCAGGGAAATTCACGCAATTTACCTAGTTTCTCCACTAATCAAACTTTAGTACCCAATTGGAAACACAAAAGCTACCATCCACTTGATAACATAATCACCTCCCCTAATTCTGGATTCAGACAAGATCAAAAGCCAGAAATTCCCTAGTCCTCTCTGTATTTCTATCCCAGATAGAACCCAAAAATATCAAGGAAGCCTTGAAGAATGCTGACTGGACTACAACAATGCAAGAGGAACTGCATCAATCTGAAAGAGACAAGGTTTTCTGGTGGTCAAGAAGAGCACATATGGAATGGATCATTCTATTGTATCATGCTTAATCTCACGGGGTACAAGGAAACACAACCCAATGGCTCTCTCAACAGCTGAAGCAGACGCTCTTAACATGGCAAAGAACCCGGTCCGGCAAAAGAAAAACCAAACACATTGATGTCAGACACCATTGTCTCAGGAATAATACGGAAAAAGGGACTCATTTGCATGAGAATTTGCTGCACAGAAGATCAAATCTTAGTCACCTTCACAAAAGCTGTGAGCAGGGAACACTTTGAGAGAAATAGGATGGCACTTGGGTTATTTAAACCTACATGAAAACCTGGTTCTGCTCACATGATCTTGAAAGTCTCATTCAGGTAAAATTGGCTAAAGTGTTTTCTGACTAGGCCTAACTCATATCTATACCGTTGCAGGTAAACACGCATGATGATCATAGAAGCTAAAGGCACAGTGTTGAACTGCGAAAGAGAGCTGCAAAAAATCTTTTACAAAAACTGGTCAGGAACCAGGTTCCTGTACCACAGGTTAGTAGTAATGTGTTTTTCGCATGCTTTTTCA